GAAATTTTTCTTTCAAGAATGATGTCTTAAGTAGAGAAAAATATTCCTAATGAAAGCATATATTTTCAAGAATTTTCATATTCTTGGTTTAAAAATATTGTTTTTTCTGTGCAGTTAGTTGGAATGCTTCCTAATTTTCTTCAACGACGAATTTCTATTCGTGACATTCCTCAATGACGTTGATTTCGAGACACAGTGAAAACTACAATTTACGCAAACTGTTTTAGATGAAGTATTAGCCGCAATTAGTCAGATTCCCAAATTTGACTGGCGAAACTCAACCCTATTCTTGCCCTCGTTAACAAGCCTTATCTATAGACATCCGTATATTTCGTAAATTGGGCCAGTACACATTGCCCGATATTATTTCTCTCCCAGGGCTAAACCGGGGGGACCCTTTTGTCTCCCCGATTAAAATATAGACCATTAAATAAACGAGTTTACTGCCTGCGGTCATATTTAGTCCGAATTAATATGTAGAAAAGGGTTACGGCCGTGATTATATTAATAAAAGTCGTTAGAGAGTTGAAATGTAGCTAACAAGAGAAAATATGACAATTAAAATTTATATCAATTTATTTTAATTTTTTTAACATGTTGATTTCATTGTTGAAGGTAAAGCAGAGTTTACACTGTGTCACTTTGGATGTACAACCAAAATGAATCACTCAAATTGAATTCATCCAAATTGAACATCCTTGTTTACATATTTTCATCCAGTTCGCAGCAGTTCACTGTTCCATCTTCCGCAGGCTGCCACCTCTCCCAGTGTTTTCTATAGCGAGGTTAGCCGCTCGGGTCGGCGTCGGCTGTTTACATTTTTCACTTGCCGTTCAATCTCGATGAATCAACGGTTAGTTGAACGCTCTTTCAACAAAAGTAGGAAGACCGTCAACTTGTTTTATTGTTCAATTCTAGTGTACACTTTGGAGGAAACAGTGATGAAAGGCAATTTATACTTATCACTTTGGATGTTTCATCCAAGTTGTACATCCAAAGTGACAAATGTAAATGAGCCTTAAAGCAGAGTTTACACTGTGTCACTTTGGATGTACAACTAAAATGAATCACTCAGATTGAATTCATCCAAATTGAACATCTTTGTTTACATATTTTCATCCAGTTCGCAGCAGTTCACTGTTTCATCTTCAGCAGGATGCCACCTCTCTCAGTGTTTTCTATATCGAGGTTGGCCGTAGTGATGGGTAAAACTGTTATTTTTAGATAACAGTTGAAACTATTATAGTTATTTATAAAAAACAGCTTAAAATAACAGTTTAAAAATAACAGGTTTCTTTATTTTATTGCTAAATATCTGAAAGAGTATGAGGCGGTCACCGCCAGGCGTATTAACGCAGTTGCAAGTTGCAACAATGACATGCTCGGTGGTAGTATTTCCAGGGTGTCAAAACATTTCTAAATATCGATTGTTTTCTAAAATACCTCTCTAAAAACGGTGGTTGTTTACAAATAAGCGCTGATTACAAATTGCGATATAAAAAAGTCAAAATTCCGCCACTCGTCTATACCTATACATTCCGATCTACCAACGTCTTGCCCCTCGATCCGCGTAGATCCTGAATTGCGTAGCAGTGTACAGGGTGCATCTCACTTGACGGGCGAGAAGCTCTTAGTTATAATTTTACCATTTGCGGTCAAAAAATAGCAATATATGAAAATATGTAGTATATTCTTCATAAGTAAACCAACTACACACTAGAGTTCGAATTAATTTTACACTTAAACTAGCGTGTACCCGCGACTTCGTTCGCGTCGAATTAATAATTTGTAATGGTGATGATAAAGCAAAGCAAGAATTTCTATTAACATACAAACTGGATAAAATTTTCTCACATTTGCCAAAAATAAGCTTTAAACGCCGAGCAGTTTAAGCGGAATCGTGGTTAATCAATTACACAACTTTTTGGAACACCCTGTATGATTTTTTAAAAAAATTCAAAATATGTAAAAAAACAAAATAAATTATGCTTGTCCAAGCGTTTCCCGAAAGACTAACCGTTTTTTAAATAACAAATATTGTAATATTTGAGGGGCGTTTCACCCTCTTGGAATTTGAGATTCGAGAAACCCCTCCTTATCGAACCTCAACCCCACAGTACATCCGTTTACCAAAAGTCAGCTTTAAACGTCAAGCAGTTTAAGCAGAATCGTGATTACTCAATGGTCATATTTTATGAAACACCCTGTATATATTTTTAAAAAATCTTAAAATATGTAAAACAACGAAATAAAATATACCTGTTTAAGAGTTTTTCCGAAAAACTCACCGGTTTTTAAATAAAAAAATATTCTATTTGAGGGTGGTTTCACCCCCTTAGAATTCGAGTTTCGAAAAATCCCTTCTTATCGAACCTCTACACCCTAAAGTCAATCCGTTTTCCAAAATCAGCTTTTTACGTCAAGGGCTTTAAGCAGGATCGTGATTAATCAATGACCAGATTTTTGAAAACACCCTGTATATATTTTTAAAAAATCTTAAAATATTATTCTGAAAATTTTTCAGAATAAATAAACACCTAAATATTGAAACTTAATAACGTACTGAAACATACAGCGCCATAATATCTCGACCTCCGCCTGTTATGCTCGTAACAGTTTGAAAAACAATGTATCTAAAACAACTGATGCGTTATTCTCCAACCTGTTTCGAACCTCCATCGCCAATCGACCGATGCAGCAGCGTTCCTTTCCCACTCCGATTATCTCGACCACTGCCCTGTTATGCTCGTAACAGGTTGAAAAACAACGTATCTAAAATGACTGCTTCTCCAACCCGTTGCGAGCCTCAATGTATCGATGGTTGACGAAATAACATGTTCTCCATCCATACTCCATACTAGTTGTTGTTTGGAATTGTTTCGAGCACGTGGCGGTGCAGAGCGCCGACTTCGTTTTTCGTTTCACGAGCGGCCGATCTCTACGTGTCGTTATTTTATATCTGTTATTTTTTAGAAGTAGTAACGGTTGCGTTATGTTATTTCCAAATAATTGTTATAAAATAACAGATAGTTAAATAACAACCCATCACTAGTTAGCCGCACGGGTCGGCGTCGTCTGTTTTGCAAGGCGGCGGCGTTCACTTGCCGTTCAATCTGGATGAATCAACTTTGTTGAACGCTTCTTTCAACAAAAGCAGGAAGACCGTCAACTTGTTTCATCGTTCAATTTTAGTGTACACTTTGGATGAAACAATGATGAAAGGCAATTTATACTTATCACTTTGGATGATTCATCCAAGTTGTACATCCAAAGTGACAAATGTAAATGAGCCTTAAGCAGAGTTTACACTGTGTCACTTGAACCAAAATGCATCACTCAGATTGAATTCATCCAAATTGAACATCCTTGTTTAGATATTTTCATCCAGTTCGCAGCAGTTCACTGTTTCATCTTCCGCAGGCTGCCACCTCTCCCAGTGTTTTCTATATCGAGGTTGGCCGGACGGGTCGGCATCGGCTGTTTACATTTTTCACTTGCCGTTCAATCTGGATGAATAAACGGTTCGTTGAACGCTTCTTTCAACAAAAGTAGGAAGACCGTCAACTTGTTTCATCGTTCATTTTTAGTGTACACTTTGGATGAAAAAGTGATGAAAGGCAATTTATACTTATCACTGGATGATTCATCCAAGTTGTACATCCAAAGTGAAAGTCTGTCATGCTGTGGTTCTATGATAAGAGTATAAAATCTATTGACAATCATTGCTCATTCCCGTCGGTTCGAGGTCGGATGAGATCGGATATCTCGTGAGTAAGAGTCGATTCAGACACTCGCCAACTCGGCAGGCCATTAAATGACTATGATATGGCCGAGGAGCGTGGTTTGGATTCCGCGTAAAAAAAGTACGCCCAGTCCAGATTAGTCTTAGAAAAAACAGACGTTAACTTAAAATACTTTACTATAACTATCCCTTTAATAATGTGACGTGACAGAAACATACGGGGTATTATCTCACTATGTTACATTACTGATCCCTTTAGAGCAGTATTGCCCTTTAGCGTATTGTGGAAATTACTAATAATGGAACTTCCCCTAGGAGTTGCGAGACTTTGTCGTTGGTGGGGAAGCTCCTAGTCAGGTGGTAGGAAGAATCCCTTTTGGTATCTTGGCTGGGTAAAAGGAGCATCTCCTTGTCTTTTCCCTGCCTGTGGTGTCGTGGCATGTATGTGGTCATGTATCACGGGCATAGGTTGTGGGGGGAGGAGCTTAGGTTAATCGCTCGGACCAAGAGGAGACAACCTGACCAGAAACCTAAATCCTATGATAACCAGGTTAAAGGGAAGCGTGGCTAGATAAAAGACTAGTTTCTACTAGTCTCAACCTGGGGTGGGGGCAACCCATTGTATTCTCGACTCCTCTACTTCTATATGCGGGGCTCTGTAGAATTAACCTAACCTAACCCTTGCGGTGTGACCTCAAATCCAATAGAGAAAGAGGGATATATCCTAGGACAAAGAGGAGGAGAGACCTAGCTGAAGACAGATGGAGAAAATGGAGACAATCCGCTACGCCGACGCGGAGGCATCAGTCTAGTGTGAGCAATCGGAGCAAACACACCTCTGAAGATGCTAGCCACTCGTGCTAGCGAAACGTTAGGAAGCAATTCTAACCGACGACGGCCTAATAACCCGAAAAACCAAAATTCTTCAAACGATGGCCGCGAAAGCCTAAACTACTACATTAACCCGCTGTATTCTCGACTCCTTTACTTCTACATGCAGGGCTCTGTAGAAGTGGACCAACTAAACCTTGCGGTGTAATTGACCTCAAATCCAAGGAGGCAATAGAGAAAGAGGAATATCGTACATATATAGACTTTATGATGAGCTATAACTCAAGAAAGGGTGACACAATAGGATTTTAAGATCGCGGTGATTAACCCTCACTCTTACTCATTCTACATTCTAGTAATAATTATTGAAACAAAATTAGGTGTTATACCCTTTTTGGCTAAAAAAATGTTTATAAATAAAACAACATTTTGTTTTTGTTTTCTCGACTAGTTTATTTATATCAGGTAACAAGTACAATGTAAAACATCTTACTGTCGATTTAGTCTAAAAATCACAAAAAAGATGGTTGTAGTATAACAAATTACGTATTATGTCAATAAAAATCAAATAAGAACATATTTTATTGCTGTGTAGTAGTTATAGAGACGATAATGGGAAAAAGAAAATATATCTCAGGATTAAAATATATTCGAGCAGTTCATCGAACCACACGATCAAACCAATGTCCTATATTGTTAGACAAAAGGCAATAGGCAGACTGAATGGATGGTGCTGACAGGTAGATGATTTTTTAGTTTTATTAAAACAACGTGTAGTGAGATGAAGTGCTTCACAATGTGTCTTTCTGTCTTTGTATAAAGCAACAACTCATATTTACAGAAAATAAATATAATTTGCTAAATTATCTATAAACATTTCTAGAAAATAAGTAAATATATATGGGTGACAAACGATAATTAACATGGCTGTAAAATGGAATGACATTTAGTCAGTTAATTAATATTTTTAAACAATGACAAGCTAAACGAAATTCGGAAAATTTACATTCATTTAAAGTAAATATTCCAATTACGGTGCATGGACATACCAAGCATTCTAAAAAAATGAATAATAAAACCATTGCGAGGGTTATTCTACACAAAATAGGAAAATAATTAGTGCAAAAGCTGCCACCACACAAGCAAAAAAACAACAAAGAAAAATTTAGAACCTATATACATACTCACCGAGTGTTACGAGGTAGAATTATCACACGAAATTACACACATGTATAAAAGTATTTTAATGAAAATGTTTTTATAAACCTATATAGTATTATATTACAGTCTTTACAAAAATATCAAATAATTCGCAGTTATTTTCCTCTCACACTTGGAATGTTCTGGCAAGATAATAACTTAGTATTATGTAAAATAACCCTGCAAAAGAAATTAATTTGAGTATAACATCATCGTAAATAAATAATGTGAAATATTTGATCTGGTATATTGATCTTCTGAGATTCTTTAGTTTATTAGTTTCGGTTTCCTCCTCCTGTAATACTTTTAATTAGATAATTTTTGAGCAAATCCGTACCTATCTTTTTTAATCCTTGTGATATTTTGTCCGTGAGTGAGGATCCTGAACTCTTTTGTGGATACTGTTGTTGGTATGGATTATAGTTGTTTTGGTAACCTCCGGGGTACTGATGATTACCTAGAGATTACGAAATGTTAATATATATAAAAAAATCCTATACTATGTTTGATGTAATTTCTTGAAAACATATTATTCTGCCAGTGAAACAGCGGTATTGCCGGATTTTGCATCAACATTTCAAACCGCACAAGTATTGTATTATTATATATAATATTATTTTATTTCTCGTACGAACTGGCAATACCGTATACCGCTTATTATTTTTTCTCTCTATCTGTCAACTGGCCCTATACCTGGTGCGTCTCAAAAGTGGCTCACCCCTATAACTTTTTTATTTTATCAGATAAAAAGAAGAGATTTGGTATGTTAGTATATGACATAAATTAGGATTGATTGACGTATTCAATTATTTTCTGTCACTTTCTGTTTCACCGGAAATGACTACAACTCTTGATTTTTAAATGACACCCTAGGTATTTTTTTACTTTATTCAATAGAAAATTACACTCTGAACAGAATGACATATCATATGTCAACTTCTGACATTTTCGCATATGGTTTATTTGAAATTATAACTTACGGTTCGTAACGAAAATTTGACTCGAAATACCAAGTGTGTGGTATCAAATTATTCATAAAAAATGCTTTTTCCAAATATGCTAATGAGCCACCATCGTTCCATTTAAAAAAAATTGAGATATTATTAAAAATACGATTTGAGCATTTTCTAACTGGCCAGGACGAGACACTAAAAACATTAGACAACCAAATCTATTTTTCCAAGGCTCCTTGATTAAGAATTAGTATTTTTAACATAGCCATGGCACTCTAGATTGAATTTTAAAATACGAATTTTTATTAAGCGATAATGTCAAAAGTTTACATATGATATGTCATTCTATTCAGAATGACAGTTTCTATTGAATAAAGAAAAAAAATGCCGAGGGTGCCATTTAAAAATCAAAAGTTGTAGTAATTTCCGGTGAAACAGGAAGTGACCAAAAACAATTGAATACGTCAATTAGTCCAAATTTTCAGTCATATACTAACATACCAAATCTCGTTTTTTTTTTATCTGAAAAAATAAAAAAGTTATAGGGGTTAGGTTGTGAGTCACTTTTGAGACGCGCACCCGGTATATTTATCTCTGTCGTATGAACTAAAGTACAGACCAGGCAAATGACCAGGACTAGTATATTAAATAAATTTCTACGATGTGAAGAAAATGAACTTTGAAACATGCGTGCATATGATACAAATTATAAAAAAGTACTGTCTAATAATTCAATTATACCTTGAGGGTATCCTTGGTAACCACCCTGAGGATAACCTTGTGGATACCCTTGATAGCCTCCTTGAGGATATCCGCCTTGTTGTGGATATCCTCCTTGTTGTGGATATCCTCCTTGTTGAGGGTATCCTCCTGAATGGCCACCTTGTCCTGGGTATCCAGATCCAATTTGACCACCTTGATATCCAGCTCCACCAGAATAGGCAGGCCTAACAACAGATACATTTTTATAATTTTTCGACAATTCCTAATTCCTTGTGTTGTATAAACATTATTTTACTAAATTGTATATTTTATTTATTATCTTTTTATTTTACTTAGATTTATAATTATTTTCTAACAAATGGTTAGAAACGTATTATCAAAACGTTTTATGAGCAAGCGTGCTTTGTGTAATGAGAAATAAACAATTCTTATGAGAAATTACATTTTAACTTTCAAAGTCAAAGCCTACTTGATCTAATTTTTTTATTTCGTATGGTATTTTATTTGAAGGTTTAACGTGATTTTAAGTACAGCCTATACATTAGACAGCTAGCTGACTTCTAGCTGACTTTTTGAGTACCCGCGCTTCACCTGTCGAGGCTGTTCCCGTATACACATGCAGGCAGTCAAGAGGTCTCAATATTTTTTATAAATGGAGCTTCAATCTTCAATGGACCTCAGGATCAGACTTCTTACATGACATAAGATAACCGAATATCCAAGTAGGTACGTACAGTTCCATGTAAATTATCGTAAGTCGACTGGCTGTCAAATGAATAGGCCCTGGTTTTAAACTTGTAATTTAAGAATATATGGTTTGATCAAAATTGAATAATTTTTAGTATATTTGTACCAACCTAACATTAGGTCGAGGAGTGGTCTCTCCCTTTGGTAAACTGGGATAAACTTGTCCAGAATTTTCAGCTGGTGGTGCATTTGGTGCATTGTTGTCATTTATAGCTTGAGTGTCATATGTTGCGAGTCCAGCTGTAATAAATTATATGGAAAATTATTACACTTGATTACAATGTTTAAAAGGTACACGTTAAAATTACAGTGTGCAAAAGAATTTATGGTTATTGATGTAATAACACTACAGTATTATATTGGTAGCTATCTGTTAAGCCGGTTACAGACGACATGGCAAGCCATGGCCAGCGTTTCAGCAAACGTTTGTAGAAGCGTTGGTCTTTGCTTGATATTCGCGCACCGACGACCGTACACACTACATGTTTTATCTTTGCCAATCTTTTCGAGGTAAGTGAAGGCGAACGTTGTACAAGGGTACAAATAACACAAGAAATGGACGTCGACTCCATTTCTTGTCTATTAATTGTATATTTACAGGGTGGCTCGAATTCGACGCTCATTATTGGGATTTCGGAAATCGTAAGAGATACAGGATCGGTTAAATGGAGGCAAAGTTGTGCAATTTGATGCTCAATAAAATGCCGTATTGCATTTTTATTTTTTATTTCTTTATTTTTTTGCATAAAATATTCTGGTGATGGAATTTTCTGTACGAAACGTCGGCAAATATCAAAGTGACTATATATAGTGTTTTAAGAGTGATGAAAGGATTTAATTAAATTAAAATTGTACCATCAAGTTTATCATTTGTTACTGGTTCATCTATTTTACTATAACATTTTATTTTGACAGAAAAAGTAAAGAATAGGCCCCTATTCAGTTCACATTACAACACCCTTGCATTGTCATTTAAACTCAAGCTCTCTTGGACTAACATAATATGTCGTGTGTACGGCGATCAAGGCCACTGGCGAGTTTCAACAAGTCCCTTTGATGTGTGTCGAAAATACCGCTTCATAGGCGAACCCTGGCCAGCGCCAACCTTGCCTTTGCTTTGCCATATGTTTTGCATACACACGATCCGCCAACGTTGAAACGAGCGGACACTGGCCAAGGCTTGCCATGCCGTCTGTAGCCGCCTTTACATAAGTACACCAGAAATAAATAACTTAATAATGTATAATATAATAACTAATTCATAACCATCTATGCACACAACCATCTATGGACCGTTTTTTTGTTGACGAAATTTAAAAAAATGTTTTTCTTTTTGCTGTATTTTTTTTGTAATGCAGCTTGCCTATGAAGCTCTTTTAGTAAAATAATATGATGCTTTAGAATCATATTGGGCGATGCCCAAGCTATACAGGTTTCAAAAGTTGATATTAGTTCTCCATGTTCAATAATTCGCCAGGTACAGTCAACTGATAAATATTGGACCGTGTGGGTTCATTTAATGAAAAAATACTCAGGATTTTTTGAAGATCTGAACCCACCTTAATGATATTAATGATATAATAATGAGATTATTTATTGAGCCGTTTTTTAAACCTTTGAAGCCAACCTTGAGATGCACAAAAATCTCCATTTTACGAATAGTTTTTGCCTTTGGTATTTAAGATCCAATCTTATTTGTTTTCGTTTCAACGTTATTTTCTGATTTATAATGAAAACAATATAAAACTCTAATTCACCACAATACACCAAACCACTTTTACTTTTGCACTGCATCATCAGCAGATGATTAAAACTGTTTTAATCAGTTAAGTAAAAATGTTTTGGTGTATTGTGGTGAATTAGTATTTTATTTTGCTGTTGTAATCACGGTACTCGGTGGCGTAGAGGTACAGGCTCTTGTCTACCAATCTCAAGGTAGTGGGTTCGAATCCTATACCCGGCATTTCATCAGCCGACTATTTTTATTAAAATAAAAGTAGTTTGGGTACCTAGATTGACTCAGCCTTAAATGAGTACTTGGGATTCACAATCCTGAGGTAATAATAGGCGGTTGAAGGGTAGTGCTAGTCACATTACCTTCCTTGTATACCGAACGGCTCTAGCATGGCAAGCTGTACCTTGCTACTCCCAAGGCGTCAAACGCTATATACGGAAGCTATTATTATAATACTAAAGGTTCTAACTTCCAACTGTAATTCTAATGAAAGTACTAAATTACTCTTTTAGTTGTTAATAATTATGATGCTTTGAAATCATATTCTTTGATGTCCAACCCTATACAAGTTTTAAAAGCTGATATTGGTCCCCCATGTTCAATAATTCGTCAGTGACAGTTCACTGATAATTATTGAACCACTCTAAAGGTTTAGACATTAGTTATTAAACCGTTTTTTGAACCTTTGAAGTCACCCTTGCCACCTTTTAATGCAAGTTAATCTCTATCTCACAAATAGTTTTTGGAATGCCTTTGCTTTTTAAGATCTAATAATTTTACTTGTTTTCATTTCAACATTATTTTTCAATTTCTAAAGAAAGTACTGATTCACGAAACTGATGATTGTTGGATGCAGATTTGAAGATCAGAAATTAACTGATTTCTACATTCAAGTTCAAACGTGTTACTCTTAAGGGAGGAATGCGAAAGATAGAGCAAGTATACACCGTGCTACGTAATTGACAAGTCTTTGGAGAAACGTTCCAGTTATAGAGTAGCGTTATTCCTACTATAACATCGCAATTAGGGTGTTGCGATAATAAACTGTTTTTAATGATAAATTCATTTTAATGATGGTTTTAGTAGTTAGCACTTACATTTTGATGCATCATTAGAACATTTGGGAGTATCGCCGTCCATTCTGCAGACTTGACTAGGAGGACACACAAAATTCGAGCATGTCCGTTTCCCTGTTGTAGACCTTTTACACGTGGGATATCTGTAAATTTATTAGCACAAATATTAATGTCAGCACATAAGTGAATTGGGTTTAATAATATAAATTAGCGAATACCTACGATCCACATTCTCCTTGTCTTTGATAGTAGGAGCAAGGATCCGTTTCCATTACGCATTGCTGATTTGACGGACATCCAATATCCGCACAAGTTCTTCCATATTCTAAAAACAAATTATTTATTTATTTATTAATTACGTGACATATTAAGATAAAATAAATAATTTAAGCTATGCAGAATCAAATATAAAATGTAAATGTTTAATTACAATACATTTATGGCAGAATTTTTTAACTAAAAATATTGTTTTAATACCACTTGAACGAGATGAAGAAAATATATATTATCCTTTAATTGTAAAATTTGGGTTATACAGGATGAGTCTTAAATGTGTCTCGCTGTATAGAAGAAAGACAATTTTTACTTTACTATAATTATCTATACTAATATATAAAATACTTAAGTGCCTGACATACTGATTAATCACGATCCTGCTCAAACCACTCAACGTAAGAAGCTCAATTTTGGCATACAGGTTGATTCTAGGGTGTAGTGGTTCGATAAGAAGGGATTTTTGGAAATTTCAGTTCCAAGGGGGTGAAAAATCTGGTCATTGATTAATCATGATCCTGTTTAAAGCGCTTGACGTAAAAGCTGCTTTTTGGAAAACAGATTGACTTTAGGGTGTAGAGGTTCGATAATAAGGGATTTTTCGAAACTCGAATTCTTAGGGGGTGAAACTAACCCTCAAATATTAAAATATTTTTTATTTAAAAACCGGTGAGTTTTTCGGAAAAACTCTTAAACACGTATTTTTATTTTGTTGTTTTACATATTTTAAGATTTTTTATAAATTTATACAGGGTGTTTCATAAAATATGACCATTGAGTAATCACAATTCTGCTTAAACTGCTTGACGTTTAAAGCTGATTTTTGGCAAACGGATTGACAGTGGGGTGTAGAGGTTCGATAAGGAGGGGTTTCTCGAATCTCAAGTTCCAAGAGGGTGAAAACGCCCCTCAAGTATTACAATATTTGTTATTTAAAAAACGGTTAATCTTTCGGGAAAACGCTTGGACAAGCATAATTTATTTGGTTTTTTTACATATTTTGATATTTTTAAAAAAATCATACAGGGTGTTCCAAAAAGTTGGGTAATTTCTTAACCACGATTCTGCTTAAACTGCTTGACATAAAAAGCTTATTTTTGGCAAACGGATTTTTCGAAAGTCAAATTCCAACGAGATGAAATTACCCCTCAAATATTAGGTACCAAGTTATATAATAATATCGCCATATTGTTTTTTCTCATGCTGACATAAATGTGAGAGAATTTTATCCAGTTTGTATGTTAATGGAAATTCTTGTTTTGCTTTATCATCACCATTACAAATGATTAATTCGACGCGAACGAAGTCGCTGGTACACGCTAGTTTAGATATATAAATAAAACATATTTACTTTTGTTAACTTAAGGGCTAAAATTCACTTCTCATATTTTTGATTAATTCTTTTAGTCGTTATATAATATTTTTTGAAAATTTATGTTTGGCATCCTTCCATTTTTGAAAACAACAACAAAAAAATAATGGATATTAGATAAAGTTGTTGTCCACCAATTAGACCTTTACTATTATTATTAAGACAAATAAATAAGGAAGTCACTAATTAAGTTCGTTGAAATTTATTTGGGATTTCCTACTAATAATCACTCATCACGATGTAACGCATATTGAAATTGCAGAAACGATTTTGAATTGCATTACATACAATAATATAAATTATAATCTTTATTGAAAAAATATATTAAAATATAAACAACTTTTATTTAGAAAATGTATAAAAACATGTTTGGTTCATATATGTATTGTTATTCTTGACAAGAGCTCAAAACTTGTTAAATAATATTGATATAATCTGCTACATTATCCTGATGAAACAAATTACTATAACCTTGACTTTCAAACCATTCAAAACTAGTTAGCATATAAAAAGCGCTCATGTAACCTAAACCCTTTTGTATACTTAAATGAAATCTTGATTTGCTTCACAGTTTATGCTATTAACATATTTAATGGATATAAAGCAAAAAAGTAACAGCCAATTTTATGGTCGATATAAGGTTTTTGCCATGTTATTATTGGGCTATTTAAACATAATATATTGTAGAACATTCTTCTAGAAAAAAGTGCCCGATAATATAGGGAAAATCATCAGAAAGGTAAATATCGATAACACAACTCAAGCAAAAGCAGGAAATAATCACGAGACACGAGACGTACCAATACCAGTGGGCATTAGACAAGGAGACAGCCTTAGCCCCTTCTTATTCAATCTTTTAATGAACATCATCATAGAAAAGATGAATATCGGTTATCGAATGGGACACAACAGAGTTAGCATCGTTTGTTACGCTGATGATGCACCCATTATCGCGGAGACAGATGACGATATGCAGAGAGAGATTCATAAATTCTATCAAGTAAGCCGAGAATTAAATATGATTAATTCTATAGAAAAAAAATAAATGTTCAACTTTCTCTAAAGAGCCGGTAAGATGTAAACTGGTAGTAGAAAACAAAATTATTGAGCGGGTATCACAGTGTATATACCTAGGAATAGATACGTCGTACTACCATGATTCAGAGAAAGATCTGAGAAGCCAAATAAACAGAGCAACGGCCATGCTAGGATGTCTGAGGCAAATAGTGCGGACAAACCCCTTCATGCGAACAGAAAGCAAAATTAAAATTTATAAGACCTGCATCAGAACAATAATGACATAATATGGCATAGAAATCCGAGAGGCAACAAACAAAACCAAATGCATGTTAAGAGTCGCTGAAATGAAGAACCTAAGAACCATAATGAGGAAGACTAGAAGAGACAAAATTAGAAACACAAATATTAGACAACAATGTGGAATACAGGACGTAGTGAGATGGGGTAGGCAAAGAAAAAGACAATGGTTCGCACATGTAAAACGCATGGAAGAAAACAGGCTACGATGCATAGTTCTTGAAGGGAAACCCATGGGTAAGAGACAGCTAGGAATATCTCCAAAAAGATGGAAAGACAGTTGGCAGTCCATCTCCTAGAACCCCTACAGAGGTAACCCCTGAAAAACAGATCGACTAGATCTCAAATAACAAGAAGATTTCTTATAATAGGACGAGGTCTTGTCAATTCTGTCAACTGCCCTTTTGTGACGTTGATGTCCAGCTGCCATACCAGCCTACCAACTCGACATCTTGTTACTGGTTTTTGTGTTTTGGTCCACTTGGCTTATTATAGATATAGGTAATCTTCTTTTCTTTAAACTGACCACTATGGGCTCACCGCACAATAACGAAATGTAGGTATGTCGCTTAATAAACTGTCATAGAGAATTATTGGCATATTTTGGTACACAGCCAACAATTTGCTCGTGGTTTTTTCCTCAAAATGTTACCTACGATCTATAATCTACATAGATATCTACTACTTCAGTAGTATTACTTACTTGTAAAACAATTTCCTATATCAACCCATCCCAGTATGGCAACGACGACTATAAGTGTCTTCATTTCTTTGTCCTATCTGAAACAACATAAAAAAATCAATAAAGAACTCTCTATAAACAAAACTAGAACTGTAACAACCCGACAAAATCCACTTAACAACTAATTCTACAAATATTTATCGATTTTATCTTTGGACGAATCAAGTTAGCGAAGTTTCTCCACTCTCCCAACTAGGAGAGTAGAATAGTAAGGAAGAGCGATGGCGGGTTATGTAAACCTCTTAAAGTCCTTAAAAGGACTGCAGGACATCGGCTGTAATGATCGCTAGCAGGAGTCGGTGCGTAATCAGATTACGGGAAATTTATAGAAGCGCCGGCAAAATGTGTAACGTGCTGCTCGCTGACCCTATCTAAATAACTTAACGTTTAATACAGTTCGGTTATGGAATTATTAAGGGTAGGACCGTGTTTTCCTTTCGCGTACCGTTAATAGATGTCTTCGTATTCAATTAAATGTGAGGTTAGAGGATTCTCTGAGGATTTCGAGAGGGTGATTTATGAAATGTTATTGGATAACGTCAGGGAATATTTGCAAAATGGTTGAACTAAGGAAAGTTCTATATAGCTAAACTAAGATATATATAATATCTCCCGTATATAGCGTTTAACGCCTTGGGAGTAGCAAGGTACAGCCGTTCGGTATACAAGGAAGGTAATGTGGATAGCACTACGCTTCAACCGCCTATTATTACCTCAGGATTGTGAATCCCAAGTACTCATTTAAGGCTGAGTGGACCTAGGTACCCAAACTATTTTTATTTTAATAAAAATAGTCGGCTGATGAAATGCCGGGGGTAGGATTCGAACCCACTACCTTGAGATTGGTAGACGAGATCCTGTACCTCTACGCCACCGGGCACCTAAACTAAACTAGACTAATAAACTAAGATTATTTCTTACAATAAATAATTATTTTTTATGTATATTTTTACATAATAAAATAAATTTAATAATTAATAATAATACATACAAATTTTTTTTACAAAATGATAATATGTATATTATTTATGAAATTAGATTGTTAGAAAAATTAAGGGGGCGCAACAATTTTTTTTAAAGGGGGGCGCAGGTACAAAAATGTTGGAAGCCACTACGTTAATCTTTGGAACTCGCTGCCAATTTATACATAGCTCTTAGGTTACATCGCCATAGGTTACAAGAGGATTATAGAACATCAGGATCAACAAAATATAAGAGTCAATTTTCTAATGGTGATCAATGATTAGTTAACAATTAGTTTAAGTTAAGCAGTAGGAAATATTTAGTATAAGTAGGATTTTATAGAATTATGTATATACATGATATAGTTTGGAAAACACATTGCGAAAAGATCATTGAATTTTAATTACCAACAATTTTTTACAATAACCTTAGGTTTTGTTTTGGACATCATAATATAACACAGAGTTTGTTTAATAATTCTAATTCTTAAGAAAGACACCAAAGAAGATCAGAAACTATCAATAAGCTTACTACCCATAACATACAAGCTATTCACAAAAATAGTAAACAACAGAATACAAAACAAGCTAGACGCTGCACAACTACGAGAACAATCAGGCTTTAGAAACGGCTTTAGCACAATTGATCACATACATACATTTAGAGAACTTATCAGCTGTAGAAAAGAATATGAACTTTCACTAGGCATAGCCTTTATAGCCTTTGAGAAGGATTTCGACTCGACATATCCTAAGGCAATTATAGAAGCCCTAGCGAAACAAGGTATTTGCACTCATTATATATAAACTCTCGCCAATATATACAAAGAAGCCAAAGCAAGAATAATGATATATAAAACAACCCCAGAGTTCCCAACTGTCAAAGGAGTACGACAGGGAGACGCGATATCCCTAAAGCTGTTTACAGCAGAACTAGAAGAAATCTTCCGTTAACTAGGCCAAACCACCAAAGGATTAAAAGTAGATGGAGAATATCTTAACCATCTAAGATTCGCTGATAACATAGTCCTAATTGCCAATAGTCCTAAAGAACTACAAACACAAATTGACGAACTAAATACAACCAGCAATAAAGTAGGTTTTAAATAAATTTAGCAAAAACTGAAGTAATGCACAACGAACTAATAGACAGAAAATAAATTCTAATAAATAACACAACACTGGAAATAGTAGAAGAATACATATATTTGGGACACTAATACACAGCTTGGGATCTCTTGCTACCAGAAATCAACTGAAGAATTAAGTTGGAATGATGGAGTACTTATGGAAGAAACCCAATCATATTCAAATCGAGGATTCCATTTTAGCTAAAGAAGCAAACATTCGACCAATATGTACTATCAGTCATGACCTATGCACGTGAAACTTGGACACTTAAAACGGACATCATAAGGAAACTGCAGGTCGCACAACGCTCAATGGAATGAAATATGCTGGCAATAACTAAGAAAGATTGTAAAAGAATAGAGTGGATACTACAAAAGACCCAGTTCTAGATGTCATCCACAGAATCAAATTCCTCCAGTGGCAATGGACAGGACACCTGGCAAGAATGATGGACAACAGATGGACCATAAAAATTACAGCATGGTACTCACGAGGAATTAAGAGACCTAAAAGATGACCAAACCTGAGATGAGACCATGATATTAGGAAATTAGCAGGGATAACTTGGACCCGCATAGCCAACAATAGACAACAATGGGCCCAACTACAAAGAGTATCTAAATATGTGAGATAGGCTATACCATAATTGCAAATAGTTGAATAAGCTAAGAATGATGATGATGATGATGATGTTTAATAAAGTCTGCAGATTATGATCTACTATTAAGAAGGATTATTGTATTATAAAATTAGTTTAAAATCCATCAAGGGAGTCGAATGAGAAAATTGTTATTTGTTAGTTAGGTTGTTGGATGATGTCAGCTCAGGGTTATAGGATGTAGATCTTCTTTCTATTTTACCTTGTGATTATATTTCGATAATACGAAGCATTAATCGAATTTCATAGTTAACTTTTGGAAGTTTGCATGTAACAACAATATTTCAAAATAAACAAATTAAAAAATGTAAACAGTAAATAACAGCAGCACGATAGAACCTTGATAAAATCCGATCGCCATCAAATCAGGGTCTGTATGCTTCATCTCCAATTTGATACTGTCGCATCACAAAGGCTTCGCCATTCGAATCGGCTCCAAAGATATCAAATTTAATTTTTGCCAATCAACATCACCCAACAAAACTTCATTTCGCCTCGGTAACGAACGGGTTCAACCGTTCGTCGCATCGTCCTACTTAAACGGGAGCGCCAGAGAGAGACTCTAGTCAATTATTAAATTTTGTTATAGTTGCCTCGCAAAGAAATTGAGTTATTCACTTAAGTTCAAAGTGCCTATCAATCTCCTCTCTTCTTTCTCTACACCACGCCTCTCGATATTACCCTCTCTTTGGATAATTGCTTGGAGAAACTCTCCTTTTGCACAAAGATGCCCGAAATAAAAGAGCCTAGACGTAAATTAAATCAATCGTTCGATGTGGCAAAGTCTGGAAAGGACCGGGAGTGGATACTGGGGCTTTTCCTGTTAATATTTCTGAAATTCGAAATAGATCTTCGCTCACTAGTAATAGGTTTGAGATTAAAGTTGTATGCTATATATAAAAGTATACAGGGTCAGTCTTAAATGAGTCCAAATATTGTCAGGGCTGGTAGATCTCGATAAAAGAAACTTATTTTCTCTCTACCGTATTTCAAATAAGTCCAAAACAACCGAGATATTTTAGACTTGTTTTTATAAAGAAATTGTATTTTGCTAACATTTTGAGAACCGCTAGATCTTTTCTGGATTTTCTTTCTTTTAAATTTGATCTATTACCTATGTTGCCATATTATGAAGATATTACGTTTTTTAACTAAACATTAAAAAAATTTCCAATTTTTTTTTCAAAAAATTCCAAATCTTCAAGATTTTTTTTTCGCGAAAAAACCGCATAGCCGTATTTCTGGGGTCGAAATATACTACCCCTAAAAATATTTGCACTTATTTAATACTCACCGTGTATAAACACAACCAAACTTATATGGAATTATCTATTATTGTGTGTCATAATTTTTGAGACGTTTGAACATTTTGTGCTTATTAATAAAACTTAACAAACTCTTTTAATGAAAGATAAATCCATTTAACGATAAAAAAATAATCAGTTCCTAAAATAAACACAATGATATTTTTTTGGTTTCTGAAACGATATGATATTTAAATTTTTAATGATCAAAAAGCAGAACCAAAAAGAAAATTGATAATTTTAATAATCCTTGTTGCCACCTCTAGTCCTTATGCTTCTTATTAAATTATCAACGTTGTCTTGTATGTTTTCTCATTCTGCTAATGTTGCATTAATAAGCTCTGCGGGCTTTCCTGGATGGTTTCGATGAGCTCCAAGCCTTCTTTTGAGCGTGCTCGACAAGTGTTCGATAGGGTTTAGATCTGGTGAACGTGCAGGCCAGTCCAAAATTATGACACCTTTCCCAAGGTTTCAAGACATTTTCTAGCCACTCTGCTAGTATACAGAGGTGTGCACTATCGCGCATGAAGTTAAATTTATTCCCAATTGTGCAGCTTTCCAAAGCCTAATGATTGGTTCTAGCACTAAATCAACATGCTTTCGACCCGTTATTGTTTGTTGAATTGGTAACAATGAAGTTTTTGCTTTCAGCATAATACCTCCCCAGGACATTACAGTTCCTCCTTTATGTCTTGGATATATTTGGCAGCCTGGAGTCTCGCTCGTCTTCCGGAACCTCTGAGAACCCGAATTCGATGGTCATCTGGTCTTAGACCGATTTTGGTCTCATCCGAAAAAAGAACATTTTGCCAATTCTCAATTGTCTAGTTTTGATGTTGAAGGCACTAATTCAGCCGGTCAATTTTATTTTGTCGAGATAACTGTGAGACTCGTAACTCTCTCCTACTGTACAATCCTCGAACACGAAGCCTTTTTCTTATGGTTTCAACTGAAACGTTCACACCTGTAGCTGCCAGGAGTTG